CCTCAACTTTCTTTTTTTGATAAAATATTCTCAATTTTTCCATCTCTTTTTGTTGTTCTTTGTTCTGCGTCATCCATTCTCATCTCAATTGTCTCTGTTATTATTAATACCTTTTGAATTTTAAACATAATTATTTGCGATATTAATGTTTCTTTTTCATGTTGCGCCATCCTTCCAATTTATAAACACTGCCACTATAGATTTGAGTCTTTTATTGTATTCCAAACAAGTTCATTATAATCTTTTAAGTTAAGAATTTTTCTTCACTGCAAAAACTCCAAAACAGCAGCTGTATAAACAAACCGTGCTCTTTCCACTATCACTCTCAATAAACAAACTGAAAGGAACTCGGTTGATCAAAGAGCGGAAAGAAAATACAATGATTCAGCCTCCAGCCTTAAAGTGGTAGTGTTACTTTTTTCTCTCTGCTATTACAGCCCTTTTTAAATAGCATACTTATGAAGAAAAATTCTTAATAAAAAAAAACAATCCAGTCAAACGTTGTAGAAAAGCAAGAAATTTTTAATCCCCAAGTATATATAGAAAAAGTAAAGAATTAAAAGTAGAAGAATAAAAACTGAGCCTTCCAATTTAAAAAATAGGAAACATTTGCAGAACTTCCATTCGTAAAAAGAGAATTTTTAAAAAAGGATAACACACTAAGTTTAATGTAGCTTAATTTCGCCGCTTGTTTTCTTTTGTCTTTAATTTTAATTTAGTTTTAATTTTCTTTGGGTAGTCTCTTTTCTAATAATAAAATTTCCTCAACAATCTGACACACTATTCTCTTCCATTTTCTTTCCATTCCGGAGCTGTCCCAACTTCAGCCGCTTCAGGGCTGGGTTTCTGTTATCAGGAAAAAGAGCTTCTCTTGGATCAATCAGAGACTTTGCAGTGTCCCTGAGATCAGCAGGATGTACTCTTCTCTATCACTGTCTCTTCGGGACGGTGTAGGTCCAAAAGGACCGCCCAGCGGTAGAAATATCTACTGTGATCTTGGAGCTCCAAGATCGCACGTCGTATCGTCGCAACGTCGGGTCTCTCCATTCCCCGTTGCTGAAATTTTTGAAGCCCACCCCTGCATGTAATGTATACATATAAACAATTAGGTTGCTCTCTCTTTTGCTACTTCAATTGGTTCCCAAATCTTCATAGTGGTAAAGCTAGTTCTATCTTAGAGGTAGTCTTAATGTCATTGCATTTGTTTAATATGTGTGTTGGCAGTGCTAGAAAAAGGGAAAGAAAATAAATGTATTGTCAGCTGCATGCTTTCTTCTATGCATCTGCTCTCTCAGGAGGTCAAATATAAAGAGAAATCCCATCTATGTCCCATCCTAGGGAACAAGGCAGATAGATCTTTCCTTTCTGGGACTTAATGAAGTATTGTTTTCACTATCTTTTTCCTTCCCCAGTTTGCCGTATCAAAGCAAGAATTGTTTAGTACATCCGCATATATCTGAATTGTCTCAAGAGTCTTTCCAGGAAGGATGAGGGGAAATTTATTTTTAATCCTATACCTACATCAACACTGCTCCAACAGTGAAGGAAGGGATTGTATTCCTGCAGAATCTATTTTTTTATTATTTTGGCAATGATAGAAAATGCAGTATTTTCACTAGAAACAAGTACTGCTCAAACTGGGATAGTTTAACAGAACAATTAACTTTCTGTATTTGTTCTGTAAAGCTATTTTTAGAGAGAACCAGGGCTTTTTGTCAGGATTGATTAAAAAATGTGGCTTTTCCATAGTTTCTAAAGGACAGCACTGCATTTAATGTTTAAAAACTGTAATTTAGGGAAATTGCTATTGATGATAGTGATACGTGATGAATTAGCTAATTACTGCCAAAAGATTTTCATGATCATAATGCACAAAATCCATCAACTGATAATAACAAATGGGGGTAATATTGAGGTAAGCAGTAGCCCAGAAGCAATAATCTACTCACCCTCACTTAGCAAGATTTTTTCCCCTTAAAGTGCCTGAGAGGCAGAACTGCAGCAATCAAGCCAACCAACAAGTTCAAATGCAGCTTGGCAGCAAAAATGCATTAAAGAACTGTGTATCTTTAGTACATAAGAGCATGAATGGAGGACATGTGCATGCAATCACACATAGACATCAGAGCCATCAAATCAACCAGCCAACCAAAACCTATGCTGGTTTGCTGAGCTTGGGCCTATGTTTGTCCTGTCGATTACAACACGGAATTTTGGAAGGCCACTAAAGATGAAAATTCACTTACCTTTTAAAGGCATCGTGAATTCAACCCTGAGCCAGACAGAAGAACATGATTATGCAACCAGTTGGCATGACTAAACTTGTACAACAGATGGATAGAAGGACATTTTTTTCAGAATACGCACACAAACAAAATCTGTTTTGTTTCAGAAAATATTTTTGAGAAATAGCCGTAGCTTTCTTCTAGGCCAGTGGGTCTCAACCTTCCTAATGCCGCGACCCTTTAATATAGTTCCTGATGTTGTAGTGACCCCCAACCATAACATTATTTTATGTTTTCCGTATTTTTTCAAAAATACGTGTTTTCCGATGGTCTTAGGCGACCCCTGTGAAAGGGTTGTTCGACCCCCAAAGGGGTCCCGGCCGACAGGTTGAGAACCACTGTTCTAGGCCATTAGAATGTGACATAATAAACCTGCAAGAGAGAGTGTATGCAATGTTTGTCTGTGTGAGTTGCTGGCCACAACATTGCTTTTACACAGCCGCATGTGTATATACCATTAGCTTCCCCTTTTGACCCAACTGCATATACAGGTAATCCTCGGCTTCCAACAGTTCATTTAGTGACCGTTTAAAGTTACCACGGCGCTGACAAAAATGACTTATGACCATTTTTCACACTTACAACCAGTGCAGCATTCCCCATTGTCACATGATCAAAATTCAGATGCTTGGCAACTGACTCATATTTATGACAGTTTCAGTGTCCCCAGGTAACATGATCTCCTTTTGCAACATTCTGGCAAGCAAAGTCAATGGGAAATCCAGATTTACTTAACAACCATGTTACTAACTTAACGGCAGTGATTCACTTAACAACTGTGGAGAGAAAGGTTGCAAAAGGAGGCAAATTTCACTTAACAACTGTCTCGCTTAGCAACAGAAATGTTGGGCTCAATTGCGGTCATAACTCGAGGACTACCTGTATGACTGGGTGTAGAAGGAGCAGCATTGGCTTAGGCTACAGGTGAAGGTATGTGGGCTATGAGAGAGGAGGGGGCAGGGTTTGAAGAGGATTGCAAATGAATCGGAGAGCAATTTCAGGAAATCTCATACACTATGGATATCAGGTGTTCTTCAGATGAAAGTCATATGCTTTCTAGGTGAGTCAATGACTAGCTCCAGGTGAGTTGGCATAAAAAAGACAGGACTTGTTTCCTATTGTCCATATCTGGACAGGCAAGACAAGGGGACTAATCCTCAATTTCTTTCCCATTTTAGCTCAGGAAAATTCCAAAGTAAAAGAGTCAGGTTCTAGATGCCACTAACAGGGGTGAATCATGTCACCTGCAGAGGTGGGTTTCACATAGGCTCATCACCAGTTTGCTGTGAGCATGCACGCCTTCTGTGCATGCGCTTTGCTTGCGCACACGGCTTGGAAATATGGCTAAATAGGATGGCATAGAGCCGGGGTGGAAGGGTGGGCCCTTCGCCTGAACCTGTTCAAACCAGCTGAATACCACCTCTGGTTTCCTGCCCAGACAGAACTCTTTTCCTCAAGACTCTGCTTGTGAGTGAGAAGTGTGTATTGCTGGGAAACATGGCCAAGTCTGACCAGAACCTGACATTGTCTACCCAAGAACTGGAGTCTATCTTCTTCTTTCCCCTGTTTGCTCAGTTAGCATGATATGGAATATTCTGGGCTGCCTATCAAACCATCAAACAATATCTTTCTCTGGAGATGGGCCATACATACTACCTAGAACAAGATTGGCATATTTGGGCAATGTCATCACAAATCCTATACCAGAATTAAGGCTCTGGCTGCTCTTGCTACTGGTGGGTATCTTCTTCCTAGGCACAGTCTTAGTTAACCTCAATTGGATAATTTCTGGAACAAGGAGAGTTTTCCAGACAACAATTGTTGGAAGCACAGAATGGGCAATGAAAGGGTTTCTGTAAATCCCAAAGTAGCTGCCTCCCTTGCTTCACTATATTTGCTTGATTGCATTTTGGGTCTCCCTTCCAAATTGACAAATAAGCTTACCATTTTTTTCACTCTTGACCTGGAAGGGTTAAGAATCATAGAACAGCTATTAAGGCAATTTTTGCTCACCTCTGCAGCTTCAAAGGTGGGGAAAGTCTTTTTCTATTTATCGGTGGATGGATGACGCGCTTTTATAAAATGCAGGAAACCTGTGTAATAAAAACATACTTCGGTGTCATTGCTCATTGCAATCAAATTATAAATCGACTATTAGAATTGTTAATTTGCATTCACTCAAGAGATGTTTAATTCTAAACTTTTTAAACTGCCTTGCGTCTGTGATTTCTAAAATCAATATTTAAAAGCACATATCTCTGCGGATTTTGTTACCAGTTAGATTGTGAAGTGTTGTGCCATTTCTTCAAGCAGTTTCAGGTTCAGGGTGTTCAAAAAACTAATAACTACAGTGTTTGCCAAACATATCAAGTTAACTCTTGCCGTCAACAATAGTTTGTAGTTGAATAAGGCTGTGCCAGAGATGGGTTGAGATAAGCCTTAGTGACTTAAGTCTTTGTTTCTAGGTGCTTTGGAAAAGGAAAAGTGACAGCATCATGTAAAAGGTATTGCATGCCAATACCTGTGACATATCTGGACTTAGAGGAGAGTCCTGCTGATTCGAAATAGCCCAAAATTGCAGAGAGTGTCTCCTAGGAAGCATGCATGTTGACTTTCTTAACCCTCTTTATTTCTTTATAATGCTGTCTTTTAATGGACATGTTACAGACCTCCTGGGAGAGGGTGAGTAATGCTTGATTTCTAAGCAGTTTTTCCAGCTGAAATGTTTAAATATTCAATTAGACTAGGCCTGTCTCTCTTCAATTTATTTTACTGTGCAATCTAGTGTTATTTTGGCCTTTTCTGCTTACTGTTCCTGTTTGATCTTCCTGTATGGACGCATGTAGACAGTTTGGCTGGATTTTCCAGTGTTACCTCTGAACCACAGATTTCAGATCCATTTGCACCAGAACCCATCCTAGCTCCTCCTGTTGCAACTGCTGACACAGCCACTACTTCTGCAACTACCACCGGTGCTGCTCCTGCGGCCGCGGCTGCTGAGGTGGATCTCTTTGGAGGTTAGTTAGCTCACTTATTCGCTACCACTTTCTCGACTGAAACACGGGGAGGATGGAGGAAACACTTATCGATTTGGGTAACTTTCTTCACTTCACCTACAGAATTAATAAAAATTCTTGAAAAGAGACCCGGCGTGCATGTTACCTCCTGCAAAACTGATTCTGGGAAGTAATCTTCATAGGAACGTGGGTGGAATGAATTTATCTATCATAAATGTGTTATATTAAGTAGCATAAATCTCTTTCCTTGCACATAGCAATGGGTTTGAGACCTGTAGAAGAGTTTAATCTTTTTTCTGCTCTCTGCTTATGGGTGGTCCCTTGTTCTGAAGCTGTATTCAACCTGACTTGGAAGCGCCAATTAGTACTCCAAATGTAATACCTCGGGGGTGTCAAACTCACGGCATCACGGCAGCATCACATGACATATTGGGACTTTTCCTCCCTTCGATAAACCGGGCAGAGGCGTACCCAGCACGTGACGCATCTGGGCCACGTGTTTGATACCCCTGTATTAATGATACCCTCTGAAGCAAATTGAACTTTGGATAATTAAGTTAGCTATAAATATTGTATGGTAGGGGTGTCAAACTCACAGCGTCACATTGTCATGTGACATATGACTATTCCCCCTTCACTAAACTGGGGGTAGGCGTGGCCAGCATGTGACGCATCTGGCCCGCAGGCTGCAAGTTTGACACCCTTGTACAGGTTTCTTTCTCTGAATGGGGGAAATAGATCTATTGGTATTGCTGCACTTATCTTTATTAATCATGTTATGCCAAACTGGGGAGGAGAAGTTGGCCCTTGTCTTGCCTTATTTGATAAATTATAGTCTGTAGAATAATACAATTTGACGAGATAAAAGTTTTTCAGGAGTAAAAGTACGTACTGTAAAACAAACATAACAATTGATTTAGTGATTCTTCAGGTAAACAAAATGTTTCCAATATAACAGCTGTGAAATTTTATCCCATTTTCAGTATCTGCTTTCAGCATTTCAGTGTGACTTTAGGGTAAAGCTTCCTGTTTACCTTAGCTAAGTAGAGTTCTTGAAATTGAAATGTTCTCCGTTATTGGACAACTGCCATACAGTTTTCTGTAACGTGTTAAGCAAAACAAAATTGCTTAAAAGCTTCATTTATTAGAATTCAAGTTCAGCACGAGAATTTGGCAGACTCCATTTCCTGTTGCTTTTTTTTTTCTTATTACTTTGCTCTTTAATAGATTTTAGGCAGCTTTAACTTGTTCTGTTGCAGATCAGATGCATGTTTATGTGAGCTTTTTAGAATAGGGCAGGAGGATTTTTATTTTCGAGGGTGAATATTTTTAACATTAAATTGTCTGTGTCTTAATAAGCATGTGAGTCTTCCTGTTTCTAGAGAAATTGTAAGTTTGATCTTTCTAGTGGGAAATTGCATGGCAGCGAAACCAACAGCGTCCTGTTTTAATTCTGAATTGTCTTTTCAAACTCCCCACCATCGTGGCTACTTCGGTCTTTCCCCGTTTCTTCTGATCATTTTGCTCAATCTTATTTAATGCTGCTGGAGTCGGCGGGGTTCGTGGTACTCTACACAATTAATAGAGAGAGGGGAAATTGGTATAGCGTAGCTTCTACTTTTTTAATAGTTTTAACGTTACTTGGAGGCAGGAGATTTTTCTAGATTTGGATTTAGAAAACCAGACCTAGTCTTTTTCTGTTTCCCACGACTCAATTGACATTTCTAGATGTCTCTAATTGCAGCAAGTGCAAATGCATTATTTTCTCAGCCATGTAGCCCAAGTGAATTGCAGTCTATATTTTTCTCTGCTAGTTGATAAAAAAAAGGGGCTTGTTGCGATTAACTCTAAAGGATAGTTTAGCACCGCATAAACAGGCTAGTGAATTTTTATCCCTGAGGATGTCAGAGAAAAAAAATCAGAATCAATACCCTTATTCAAAGTGATTAGAACTGGTCATTGATAATGTTCTCATGATGTAGTAAAGCTAAGCTTATCCTTAAAATTGCCTTGATGTGTGAGAACTGTGAGATACCTGAGGAAACAGTAATCAGGTGCCGTGACTTTTTCCTTCTGTGGTTTAAGCTACTTGAACTGCCCTGCTATGCCCACTGTGAGAATTTTGCTCTGATGACAAGAAATACTCTTGAAGGAGGTGAAAAGAAAACACTAGTGGCAAGAAGGTAGTCCTACCAAAAGAATCAGTTGTATTAACAACACTGGAAAAGTAGTTCCACCCTAATATACTGTAGAAGAGCCGAGGTGGCGCAGTGGTTAAATGCAGCACTGCAGGCTACTTCAGCTGACTGCAGTTCTGCAGTTCGGCTGTTCAAATCTC